AGCTTAATGTGAAACTGAAAAACCCTGAAACCTTTGGTTTTGAGGCATCAGAGACGAACCTGATGATGAAGTTGAGCCAGAAAACAAAGTTAACATATTGGCAATGTGTTGTGGAGCTGAACTATTAAGTTTAACAAACAGTAAATGTGTTTTCTTTGTACCAGTTAAGAGCCTGGTAGCTACATTCTGAACTAACTGCAGACAGCCAAGGTTGGACCTTGAGTTATAGTAGCCCAAGAAAAGTTTTCAGGTGCATGTGAGAATAAAGATTCCCTGTCAACATAAATCCCCACCTCGGGCCTCCTGTTCAATGCTCCTGTCTAAAAATGTGAAATATTGCAAAGTCAAACCAGTGCTGTCCAAAAACACTGATGAACACTTCATCCACACCCTTATGTTCTCCCAGCTTGACTACTGCAACTCATTATTCACGTGCCTAAAGGATTCAGCAATCACGTATTTACATCTGGTGACCTTTTTTTAAAACGCAGGAATTTGGACATGTGATAAATAACAGTTGTATTAAAGTGGAGGTCTCAAAGATGACAACAGAATGAGCGATTACTATATAAGGTGCTGCAAAGAAACCAGCATGCTACACATTATATGTAATTTTTTTGTCTTTGGCATTTCCTCAATAATTAGTAACACAATAAATGCTGATCTTTCTGGCAGATCTACACTGTACAAAAGTCTAGTTGGAAACGGTATCAGGAAAACAAATCACATTAATACTGGTGGAATGCTGTAACATTCAAAAACCGTAAAAATGGGGAAAATAACAGAAAATGTCTATAAAACATTGATATTTTAACTGATTTCAAACACAGTAAAACTACAATTTTACAATCACAAAGTGTGTTTAAAAACAATTTCTGCCTTTTTTGGCAGTTAATATTTTTGTAACAGAGAGAATCTGTACAATAACTATCTTAAGAATTACTTAGCAGTTTTTAATCCTATTCATGCATCATTTTTCTTTCAATTATTAGCAAATATGTATGAATTTTAAAAGAAAATCTGCTTTAATTAGAGTTAATATAGTGTAATTTTACAGCCAAACGTAAAACAAATTTCCATTACAATTTTTTTATGTGATTATTTACAAGTTTAGCCTGATTTTTGAGGGTAACGTGTAAATTAATGCTTTTATTTCTATGATTTTACGAGTTATTGTCTGTAATTTAACAAAAACAAGGAAAATCTGTAAAATAAAAGTAAATTGTTCAAAAATCCCCATCAAAAACACTCCATTTGTTACAGCTTTGTTTAAAGTGACTTCTCCTCTCGCTGGCTAACGTTTTTCTTCTGTTTAAGATATATGTCCTCCTTCCTCACCGCTTGTCATCACTTCTCGCCAGCTTGTGTTCTGGCTGTCGGAAAAAGAGCAAATTTACTGTTTGGATCTGTCGAAAGTGAGCTTCAAAAGCGCACCTGCAATCATCATTTTTAGTTGCCACCAAAGAAACCAAAACGGAGATCTTTGAGATTAATCACTGCTGTATTCCACTTCAGGGGGTCCTGTTCATGCGTATGGTGGTTCACAGCCATCTTCTCATTGGGACTCTTCATGGAACCGAGCCATCAGTAAACACACCTAACTTTCCCCGCAAAGACAAATCCTGATGTCTGCTGTGTAAAAATAATCCTGCCTATTATAGTCTGTATAGATGATGGTAGTCAAAACACTAAGTTTCCATAGCAACTGGCGCGATAATCATTCGGGGGGGGATGAAACAAGATATTGATGGGAAATAAAGTTATATATTTAGTTTGGGCTAAGTGAGACTCTGACTTTTGGCTCTGGAAGGATGCAACCTGACAGAATAACTATTTGTCAGTTTACAGAGGAAATAATTTGCAGACTCGGCTAAATTAGTTCCAGCTGAACTCCATTGTTTGACTTCCTTCACACTTCACACACACACACACAGATGCAGGAGAGCTTTTCCCGGAGCAGCGTGTCCTGCCTCATGAACGCAAACCTCCACTCAGAATTCGGGGATGTGGCGGCCGAGGACAAGAAGAGCGACCCCTGCTGGCAGGTCACCCAGCAGCTCCACCAGCACATAGAGAAGGTTTGGATTTATCTTTGTTCAATTCATCTTGGTTGTGTTACCTATTAAGTTAAAAAAACGCCAGGGGCCCAGATTTCCTGCGTAGTTTTCACAGTATTCAGGAATGTTCACGGTTTAACAGCACTGTCAGGTGAAGACTTGTTGGCAAATCAGAATCAGTTACTGAATGAAAGCAAGAAAACTCCTCAGCGCTTCTGAATAACACCGACTCACCCAAGTTGGGTCAAAAGATGACATATTTTTTGAACAAGAGTGAGGACTGAATGATTCATGGGGTCCCCGGTGAGTTACTCAATGGTGCTGATTTGGATGTCGTTAGCTCAGTGTCTTGCATAACTTTTTTTTCGGCCCATTCACTTTCTCTTTCTCTGTGTTTTTCTATCAGAAGATTGCTGACAGATTCCAGAAGGAGATATCCACTGCAATGAGAAGTAAGAACAATGCCACCATTGACTGTCAATTGCTACTAATGGGCTTACGTATGACTTTTCCCACTAAAAATGCCCTTTTTGTGTGTGTGCGTGTTTCGTGTCTGTTTGGGTTTTCACAGATAAGCTGACGGGAATGCTGCCTGTCCTGAGCCCTGGGGTCCGAGGGGTCCCGCTTCCTAAAGTGGCTGCACATGTGACCGGCGTCGTCTCATCCACGGAGCCTCCAGCAGCAGACAGTAAGGGAAATGAAACTGTCGCATTCATTGTGTAGGTTAGATATGTTTGTAATGATATGCTCGAGATCATAATAAACACACAAAAAAAATCCCAAATCCTGCATTGCAGGTGGCACACATCCACAGTTCCCACCAGGCTTTCCAGGGCCATAGGTGAGGAATTTGCTTCCAGGCTTCCCTCAGATTCAGTTACCTCGTCATGCCTACATGTCTGCCTGGACATGCAGATGTGCAGCTGCTTTTGCACAAGTGTCCTGCTGTTGTCTTTTGGACCAGTCAGTGTCTCAGTTACTACATTTGAAGAGAATGAAGACCAAAAAGGGACAACGTGCAGCAGAGCCTCTGCTAGAATAAACCCAATGTGCAACTGCACTGTTGGGAAATACACACATCTAGTAGAAAGACAAATGCAGCTTAATTCTTAACATTTAACAGCCCTGTTTGTTTGACCTCAGGCTCTTAAAGGTATGCTGACCCTGAAATACATTTCTAAGCTGTTAAAAGTTCACCAGTTCATTTCAACAGTTTTGTTTCGATTTCACCGAGACGCTCACAAATGCACGTAGTTTTCCTCTTTAAAGCCACACTGCACACTTTATATGTGCATTTGTAGCAACTTCGTGTCTGACAACCTGCATTGAAATTGGTGCGGTTTATACATTGGTGAATTGGCTGAACCGGTCGTTTCTTTATCCCTATATTGAATATGTGAAGAGGAGCGAGGAGTAGCATGCGTCAGGTAGAGCTCACATGTATCCGCTGCCCTATGGTGGGCATGCCTGATGTTTTTGGTGGTGTCTTTGCTGGTGCAGTTGTCATAACACAAATGCATAAAGACAGTTTGACTGGCTGGTGTCTTGCCTTTTAAAAAGCTCAAATGAGCAGCAATACTGTAAACACTCAAGAGAGGGGGAGTCCTGTCTGACTTTAAGTCTTTTTTTATGCTGCCACTGGGGGAACCAAAGTTAAATTTCTTCTAACTCTGCACACAGAGTTTCTTTAAAAGTTCATAAGAAATACATCATAAATCTTTTTGTAATCTTTGTTTGGTCTTTTCTGTGCATTCTGGTACAATTTACTATGTTGCTGTCATCGGTTAATTTGAAAAACGTGGCATGATGAAAAATCTCAAATGTGTTTTAGTACCAAATACCTGAGCTTTATTGGAATCTGTCAGAGAAGCATTTATTGTCACATCTGTACATGTTATTTACAGACCAAACACATCAGCAGGGGCTGTTTAAGGTTAACAATGCTTTGGTTTCAAGCCATCTTGCATCATACTGTACGAGGTGTGTCACAAAAGATATATTTCAAATACAAAGTTTTCCCCTTCGAAGTATTCCCCCTGGAGTCTAACACACTTTCCCAGCCTTCTCTGCCACGCTGCCATGCACTCCTGGAAGGATTCTTCTTGATGTCGTCCACGTCTTCAAAACAGGTCCCCCTTGATGACCCCCTTGAGCTTGTGGAAGAGGAAAAAAAATCCCACGGAGCCAGGTGGGGTGAGTAGGGAGGTTGCTCCAGCACAGAAATGTTCTTCTCAGCCAGAAACTGTGGGATGCTCAGGACGTTGTGAGCAGGTTGTCATGGTGAAGCAGCCACGACTTGTCCTGACACAACTCTCACCTCTTCTCTGAACGAAGCAACCGTTGCAGGATCTGTTTGTAGACGTGCTGGTTGATCGTCTGAAGGGGGAAACTCACAGTTTGAAATCTATCTTTTGTGACCCAGTCCTGGAACTTTTCTGCCACACCTCGTAAATGTGTGTTTCTGCATGTTGTTTGTGTTGTTACAGGCGCACGCAGCAGCAGGGGTTACATGGGCGAGCGCATCAGAGCATGGGAGGGCCAGAGAGGTCTGTCCTTCCTGCAGAACATGGAGCTGAGGGGAGGCGAGCTGCTGGTGCCCAGAGCAGGCCTCTACTACATCTACGCCCAGACCTACTTCAGACTGCCCTCCACGGGGGAGACGGAGGGGGAGGCAAAGGAGGAGGAAGGAGCACAGCTTGTCCAGTACATCTACAAGAAGGTGGGGCTGTTTTCTTCAGATTTTTATCATTCGTTTTAAATGTAATAATTAAATTGATGCTGTTATAGGATGACGTAGTGAAGGATTGTTTTTAAATTTCAAGTTGTGAGAGATACTTCAGCTTCTGAACCTTTTCGGCCCAAGACATGACAAAAAGGTCAATCCACATACATCAGCCAAATCTGAAAATGGTTCAGAATCACTTCTAATAACTTGTTTAACTGTAAACTAAATTTTAGAATTCATCCTACATCCACCCAACCGGTCGAGGCAGATGGCCGTCCCTCCCTGAGCCTGGTTCTGTCGGAGGTTTTTTTCGGTTCCTTCCCACTGTTGCAGACTGCTGAAGCTTATAGGGAATCCAAATGTTTTGGATTGTTGGGTGTTTCTGCCTTTGTGAAGCGCTATGAGATGACTTGTTGTTGTAAATATGCGCTATACAAATAAAATTGAATTGAATTGAATCATTTAAGTTTGAATGTACAGTAGCTTTAGCATATTTAATTATGCCATGCAGCACTTTACCTTCATACTATGAATATTTTCTGAGTTACAGGCCCTTGAAGGACATAGAAATGAATAAAAATTTAATTTGCATGACTTTTTCCAGCATTTTTGGACCCTCAGAATTCATCGGTACAGGTGATAGGCAGAAAGTTTTTAAGGTTTTAAAAAAAAAAAAACTAAAAAAACATTTGAACTCTGGTAAAAAGGTGTCTTGATCTAAAGCCAAAATCTCATTATTTTTTAGCATCATGTTTTAATAGCCATCTTTGATCATCAATATCATGGAATGTGTTATAGTTTCCAAACTTTAATGTCTATGACACAAAGTAACAGAAACAAACGTTGGGTAAGATGAGTTATCTGTGTTGTATTAATTCATTGGAGGAAAAATTTCATTTTTGGTGGCATATTCATGATATTCATGGAGGTGTACAATTCTTTCTAAGTAAACAAAAAGCCTCAGATTGGTATATATTTGCTTTTGGCATGATGAACAATATAAGCTTCAAGACATTTTTTACCACATCCTGTATGTCATCTGCAATCTCTGTCCTTTTTTCTTTAGATTTGGCGGTTCATTTTTTTGTGTCCACGTGTTTTGTTTGGCTGGATGCTTCAGCTATTAATAGGATGAAGGGAGAAACTAAATAGTCCTTTCAAACAGAAGTTGTATAATAAGATGATGACACGGAACAAGATGAAATGAATTCAGTCTATTTACTAATGATTCACTTCTAATTACACAGCCTGTAAATTCAAGCCAACTTTCAAAGGCTAAAGTGTCACAGTGTCCTTGAGTAGACAAAAGGAAGTTATTCATTCAAATGTCATCACAAAGATATAATGACTATAAATCGATGCTGTTACATAAAGTGATGTTTTACTGATGAAAGCTCTGACCTTGTTTTTGTGGTGCGGTCCACAGATGAGTTCCTACACGGTGCCCATCTTGCTGATGAAATCTTCCCGAAGCGCGTGCTGGCCTCGGGGTCAGGAGCCGGGCCTGTTCTCTCTGCATCAGGCCGGAACCGCCTTCCTGCAGCCCGCCGACCGCATCTTCATCACCGTGAGCAACGCCAGCACCATGGAGATGGACGGGAGGGCGAGCTACTTTGGGGCTTTCCTGGTGGGCTAAAGGACGCGTCCCGGACTGAAACTGAAACAGACATGAGCAGAGGTGGACCCAGATGTCAGGTGTTTTGCTTGATTACATGAGTGGGTGTCTGAAGGTACAAGAAGAAACAAGGGGTGAGGAAGCAAGGAGTTCTTCTGGACCACGGAGCTGCAACACTGAGCGGCCAAAAATCGCAAGGGAGATGAACCGTTCGGTTGGACCAGCAGTGACCTGGTTGCAGTTCGACCCCACACAGGATATTAATTCTGTTTTAACGGCTGGTGAACAGAATGTGCTGTAGAAATGTGGAATATGCAGAGTATTCGGGGAACATTTGGAGCCGCACAACAGATGCAGATTAAATGTTGCTGCCTTTTATTCAAGCGATCGGTTTTGCCCGCAGGTGAAACAGTCAACAGCCAAGTTGTCAAACCCAGGAAGCGGCAGCGGTGTTGGACACATGACACGGCTTTTATCAGAAATATGTACAAAAAAAAGAATATGCCACAAGACAAGATCTTACATGCTCAGGATTATGAATGAAGCTTCTTTTTTGTTTACAGTACTTCTGGTTGGATTTCCTCGTCGTTCATGGTCCCACTGATTGTGATGTCCTTTCAAGACTGAACAAGTTTAATATTTAAAGGGTGTTTCCGACATATTCACACTTACATGTGCCGTGAACCTAAATCCTGACTGCCCACTTACTGAAACATTCAATAAATCCCAGTAGTGCTGCTTTCAAGTTCATGAATTACTTTGAATTTTGGATATTTCTGCAAAAATCTAGACCTAAACCATAAACAGATGTTTCACAAGTCCTAAAAGTCGATGACGAGAACCCACAATATGATAAAAACATACATTTTGGCCTTTTATTTTGGTAAAATGATCCAATATTGCATATCTGTCAGTGGCAACAGTATGTGAACTTTTGCTTTCAGTATCTGGTGTGACCCAATAACTGTAATGAAATGTTTGAGGGAACTGTTAATCAGTCCTGTGCTTCATCTTGGAGGAATGTTTGTCGATTCCTCCGTGCAGAACAGCTTCAGCTCTGGGATTTCAGTGGATTTCCTCATGCGAACTGCTCGCTTTACCACCAAATTTAAAGTCATCGGTTTGCCATTTCCACAACATTAGCTTAATTCTTCTTTAGCAATTCTTTGGGAGAACAGCTTGTGTCTTTGGAATCAGTGTGTTGCTACATGACCTACTTTCTCTCGAGGTTCAGTTTACAGACTGATTTCCTAACATTTTCCTTTAAAATTGGCCAGTATAATTCAGAATTCATTGTTCCGTCAGTGATGCTGAGCTGCCCTGGCCCAGATGCAGTAAAAGAGGCCCAAAGCTTGTCTGTTCTCTAAACTTCACACTTCTGATTTACACCAGAAAGTTGTATTTCAGTGTCAGCAGTCCACAAAACTGTTTTCTAGCTTGTCTGTGTGAACTTTAGTGAACTGCAGAAGGGCAATAATGATCTTTGTGGAGAGCAGTAGCTGTCTTTTTGCAGCATTGCCGTGCTCGTCATTGTTGTTCAGTCAATGTAAGAGAGGCCTTTCTGTGCTTAAAGTTTGTATCCTCGCTGACCGTTACACATCCTCTGATCCCTGTGTGGATGCTATAGATTATCTTGAATTTCCACCACGTGTGCACAGTCTGGTTACCTGTGAACTGGTGGAGTCCAAACTCTTTCGAGGTGAGTTTGCGATGAGCATCAACAACTCAGAAATCTTCTTCGTTTATGACCAGAAATACTTCTGCAAGCATCTCGTGAAGCTCAGACTTTGAATAACGGCGTCCAGTCACACCTGATTGTCATCCCACTGACTGAAAACACCTGAATCTAATTTCACATTCAATCCTCACTGCTAATCCTTGAAGCTGACCTACTTTTGTCACTCAGAAATGTGTAATATTGGCTCATTTTCATCAATGAACATGGCCGAGTGTAATACTTTTGACTTGTTTACTTTTAGGCTCAGGTTTGGAAATCTTCATAGGTCATATTCATGCAGAAAAATAGAAAATTCTAAAGGGTTTGCAAACTTTTAAACACCCCGTTCACTTTGCTTCTTTTCCTCTAGTGCCATCATGAGGATGAAATTAGCAGCTTTCACAAAAACAGCCTCAACAGCAATCAAATGAATGAGACATTCACACCCCAGGCAAAAACGATTGTAACTCTGACGATGGCTTAACTTTTCATTTTATCTTTTGAAGCGGACAAAAAAAAAAAAATTGAAGTTAACATTAAGTAAACTGGCTCTGGTGTTTGGCTTCTTGCAGCTACGGTGAAACGTACAATACTTTAACTGCCTACAAGCAAAGCAAATGTCACCCTCTACACAGAAAGACACAAAACTGAAAAAGTAAAAAACTATCATTTAATTCATGTTGTATTACATGTTTCCATAATATGGCAGTGAATGTTTCAGCAATAATAGTCACTCCTCAAACAAGAGTCTTTACATTAAAAAAAAAAAAAAAAAAACAATACCAAAAACTAATCAGGGTTCAAGTAATGCCCAAAAGAAATACATTTTGAAACATACACACGCACAGAGGAAGATAGATCATATTTGCTGATCATACTGTAATCCACCTGCTACTTCCTGGTCTATGAGCGGAGAACCAAGGTGTTTGTTTGGTCAGCCTGAGTCCTCTCTCTCTCTCTCTTTTCAGTCTGTTTTTGGTCGCCATGACTGGACTGACAAACATATTGTAGTTACAGCTGAGACAGTAAACACAAACACGGACAACACGCAGCCTCGTGAGTAATAGGAGGGCTTCATTGTGATTTAACCAAAAAAAAAACCAAAAAAAAACAGTGGTACCAAATCTCAAAACACTTGGTATCAAAAATAGTCTCTTGAGTTGGTCTCTGATCAGTCGGGACACTACAACTGTGGAGGTGGGAGTGGTGGGGTGGGGTGGGGTGGGGGGGAGATGCACACACAGAGGATATTTTGTCTTGTTAATGACAACCTATGGCTTCAGTTAATCTATACACACACAGAGAGTCATGTACAATCCCATAATCAAAACATAGCGGTATATTCGTTTTGAAGACAGTCAGTTATAGTCAACAACGGCAATACTGTAAACAACTGTGTGTGCACGGGAGCTGGGAGGCTCCTTGTTGGCGCTCCTATTGCTATGGTAACCAAGAATGGTTTTAGTTGTAATTTGGCCAATCAATCAGACTAAGTGCTTACAACCCACCATCCGCCTCCCCACTGACATTACAGTAAATCTCAGCAGGCGCATACACACACACACACACACACACACACTCGCGCACACACGCACTCACGCACACAAACCGTGGAGCCAGCCAAGTGCTTTGACATTATCTCGCTGCCTGTACAATGCCTGCATCAGTCAAGTTCATTAAGACAAATTCATTAACAGCCGACAGTACTTGGATTAAGTGAATTAATGAGATAGAAAAGGCATACAGTCTTGTGTGAGACAGATGATCTCCAAAGATTAGTCACAAGAGTCATTCACAATTAAGGTGTGAGCACATACAGAGTTAAGGGTTAGTAAGGGCTGTCCTGATACCAATTATGCATTTTCTTGAACAAACTTCAAAACGTGGAAAATGCTGTAACCTTAAAATGATGACAATGATGATGTCATTGTTGTCATCATGCACCAAATGTGAAACGAACTAAAAAAAAAAATAAAAAATCGCATACATACTTGAATCTATAGTTGTTTGCACACACAAACACAAAACCTGGTATGGGTTTCTATTGCCTCTTACAGTATGTCTGCGGTCTATGAACGAGAAAAAAAAAAAAAAAAGCACCTGTGAAGTACGGAACAGCCTTGGAACCGAGTATAAGTGTTTAACTACAGACAGGCAACAATACACACCGGCACACAGGCACAATACAGGAGGCTTTGGCACACCCATGCTAGTCTTACTACTCAGCGTTTTTCCAACACAGAAGAAGAGCAGGTTACAGGACAGAACAGACCTATAGCTGCCTTAGGTTGCCTCCCCTCAGGTGGGGAGGTGCAGGTTGTCTGACAGACACAACTATCAGCCGTCACATTCAATCAGCACCAAGCTGTCTATTTTTGGAGTCCCAGCCTCTCATCCAATCAGCAGCTCCAGGCTGTCCTCATAGTTGGGCTCTTGTGGGGGGCTGGGGGACAGGAAGGCCGTGGTCACGGGGGTCCCTGTAGCTGTAGCGACGTTGAGGAGGGTGTTAGTGCGGATGCTGGTGGTTGCCGGGTTGCGGAGCGCCGCAGCCGCTGTGATGCTGGTGAGGTTGATGCCAAGTGTAAGTCGTGTCTGTTCTAAGGCCTTCTCTGGCACAGCGAAGGCCTCGAGCTTCTTCTCACCGTTGGCCATGTAGGAGTTCTGGCAACCTCGACAAATACAATCCAAGCATGCCTGTGGAAGATGAAAGAAAACAGACAAGATCACTCTATTTGCCCTGTGCCAGTGATGCATAAAAGCTGTAAAATGGTCTCTGATCTCAATAACGTCAAGAATGCCATTAAATAAAAACACCATGGGATTGCATTAATCTAATAATAAATATGAAATTTAATGAGGTTTAAAAAAATCCTTCAGTATGGATTATGATTCTGAATTTGTAAATACAGAGCTGGCAAAGCATCCAGATCCATCTGGGCCGACACTCCAGACCCTCTCCAAGATTTACAAATGCCTTCACTTGCCGTAACAAGTGGTAAGTGTGTACACATAAATACAATACCTCCTAAAGATGACCTAGAATGACAGCTGTAGGACTGTACAGTAAATGTATTTAAAATGTATGGACTGTTTACTTAAATTTCCCTTGCTGGCTTTCTTGGAAACATTCTTTCTAGGGGACCAGATAAAAAAATAGTATTATGGCATTGATAACAAATCTTGTACTATAGAAACTAATAACAATAATCTGTGCAAAATCACACAATGGCATAATTCTGCAAGTGTATGAAATGCTATTTAAATTGATCATTTAGTTTGGGTTCAGGAAAATAAAACAACTCACTCCAAAAATCCTATTCATAGAGTGGTCATAGTCTCACCTTGCGGTTTGAGTAGCAGGGACAGCGCTGCCCCCTGCAGGTCAACACAGAAGGATTCTGGGTGGCCCGGCCACATTTACAGCCCTTCTTCTCCACTGGCTTCTTGTACGGAGGCCTGACGGGCGCTGGGGGCACCACGCAGCCCGCCATCAACCGCTGGTCTTTGCTTCGGTCCTTGGTCTTGGAGCCTCCACCACTGCGGGCCTTGGCGTGGGGCTTCTTAGGGGTCGGATCCACATGTTTCCTGGCTCCTTTATTGTGATTCGGCACAGGGCGACTGGGCTTGGGAGGTACCCCGTTGGGCAGCGACGAGTATGTGTGCGCTGGTACAGTTATGGAGGGTGCGGGTGGTTGTGTGTGTAGTGTGTGAGAGGGGTTTGGAGTGTGTACATTTGAGGGGGAGCCCTGCAGGATGGAGGCTATAGGGAGAGGTTTCACCTTTTCTCTGTCACTCTCTGAACGAGATCGTTTTCTGTTAAGGCGGACTGGTGGGGGCTTGGAGGTTGGAGGAGGCTCAAAAGAGGATGTGTGTATGTGAGCACCATGGCCTGCCAATGTGTTAGTCCTGCCTGTTTGAATCTGTGTGTAGTTGTGAGCTGCATCCAACTGTATGTACATCTGAGTGTGAGCTCTGTCCGTGGCTATGTGTGTGTGAGTGTGTGTCCGTTCTTGTGTATGAAGAGAGTCTCGGCCAGGCTGAAGGGGATCCAATGTCTGTAACACCTCCTCCACGCTGAGAAGCAAGACTTCCCCCTCCTCCAGCTCCCTGCTACTAGATTCCCCATCCCTGAGTGAGCACACAGTGCCTGGTGTTGGGGCTAAAGGTCCAGTGGTCAGACTCAGTTCCAAACCACCACAAGCAGTATTGGATACAGACAGGCCTGCCTGCGGCTGCTCCTCTACCAGCTCACACACTTCCAGCTCAGGAGAAGAGGGATCTAGGTCCTCCAGCACTTCTCCGTTGCATTCCTGCGGTCCATTGGAACACGGCGGATCAGAGGAGGCGCTCTGGGGTACAGCTGAGAGCTCTGCAGGAGCAGGTGGTGCCTCTGTGGGGGTGAGGGACTCAGGGCCAGAAGGATTCACATCTTCCTGTGCTAGGCTCAGGTCGTCTGTCTCTTCTTTGTGTGACATTAGCACCTCCTCTAGCAAGGCCATAACCTCTGGAGACCCTCCTACATGGCTGCTGATTGACTGCAGCAACGGTGAATGAGTTAGATAGAGGCAGAGCTTCCTGTAGCACTGCACCAGTAAAGAGAGCTGTTTGTTCTCCTGGAAGCAGGAATAGTCCTTACAGCGGCTGCACGTTAGCCTGATCTGCATCTTCTGGCCTTTACAGCCCAAGCAAACATAATGCTGACACTCTGGATGTGTTGGGGAGATGGGATCCTGGAGCAGTTTACCTGAGACGAAAAGAAAAGGAATATATTTGTTTATCATCTTTCACAAATGCACAGTAAACTAGCTGGTTGGGAGTTATCTATATCTCTACAACATCTCACAGTCACAGATTTATAAAAACGGTTACATTTTTCAACAGAGCTGTAAGAAAGGTTTCTCTAATACAAACCAATGTGCCAATCATTTTTTGATTATCATTTAAAATACCTGTAAACATTTCCCAGAGTTTTCAAATATCTTGCTTTGTCTAACTAACAGTTCAGAACCACAGAAATATTCAGAGAAAACCATTATTATTATTATTATTAAGAACCTGGAATCAGAGGTGCTTGGGGGTTTACCTTTAAAAAAAAAGGACAAAAAAAATCTAAATATCTGCAGAAAAGTTTCACCAATTAACTTATCAATTCAGCAATACTTGTTGCAACTCTATACATCAACTGATGCATTTGATGCAAAGTTAAACAAATCGACAAATGCAATCTCTATATCATGAGATTTTAAACTACTGCCTCTTCAGGATTTTTTGCCCTGAAATTTTCAGTCACATTTTCATAAAATAGGCAAAAAGGCTCAAACCTGCTTAAACCTTGTGCTCATATTATTCATTTCTACTGCTTGCATCACCAAACCTGCAACTCCAGTTGCACATTTGCATGAAATCATGCAAAAGCCCTACTACATAATCAGCAGTAATCATATTTTATTCTGTCAACGTTGCCCGTGTCAGCTTTAATATTCCACTACCTAAGCGCAGTAAGTAAATAAAGCATGAATAGGAAACACATGGCTGTGCAGCAGGCACAACAACAGAGGAGTCATCTGTCTTGTCAAGAGGACAGATGACTGGGGCTCGGCCTCGGTTGCTAAGGAGACCACGCTGGTGAGCGCGACAAATCGTGTCAACTGCTTCGCCCACGGACACTTCAGTCAATATGAATAGTAGGGTTATAAAACACTCATTTATTTTTGTGAAGTCCTCATTCAGTTTAGTAAAATGCATCCAATTTACGGTACGAAACCCAAGATCATCTTGCAGTGAGATGGCACAAAGCAACAGTGAAAGCGTGCTGCGTATTGCTGTGAAACACTAACATTTTCAGGATGCTTACCACAGACAAGACATGCGAGGGACTGTCTGAAGAAGGGCAGTAGCTTGTACATCTCTGCGAAGGTGTGAGGCTTCCTCGGGTCGCACTGCAGCACGGCCCGGCTGGCGGACACGTACAGAGCGGTTGCATTGACGGGGTTCATAGCGGTGTACTCCGCAGCCTCAGGGAAACAGGGTCCAGGGGTAGAAAAAAATCCAGCCGCTAGCTCCACAAGACGGAGTTGAAGGCAGCCAAGTCTCAGGATGATGAGGAGAAATATATACTGGCCTGGCGGTGCAAATATCAGTCACTCCAGTGTGTCGAAGCAGAAATTCGTTGTGATTTAATTACAGACACAATATGAGACAACGTCCATGGTGAAGCGGTTCTCACTAAACGCGCACAACGTTAGCTAGTTCGGCAGGTGGCTAGCTAAAGTTAGCATCGCCGGTTCGAAGTCGCTGCTTTTCACCGACGAGCTCTTTCAGATCGCAAATAAAGTCTCCGTTTATGGGGACCAATTAGACCCTATCTTATAATTACCCCCAAGACAGCCAAAGGGCTAACGCTGAATCAAATGATCAAAAGACCCATGATCAAAAGGTTAGCATCATGCTGCTAACGTTAGCTTACTACATCAGCCAAACGATTTACAGAAGAGGTGGTCGATGATAGCCATAGAGCCAGTTTGCTATCCAGCGCTGTCTCCTCATCGACGTTCAACTGAATGCCGAGCTGCTGCTAAGATCACTAATTTGTTTGGTTAGAAATCAGCTAACAGTTCCCAGGCGCGCACTTGATGTAAACAAAGCTAACTAGCTAGCGTTAGCATGGCTAACCAAATTAGCTAGCGAAGATTGAACCGTATCACTAACCCCGCTAGGGCCGCCTTATACCTCACACGTAGGAGCAAAATGCAAGCTGCAAACTGAAATCCTACGATATGGATACTTTTTGCTATAATATTTGGCGAGCCGTGACCGAAACATAGCCAACTTGCCGTTTTACAAATGCATCAATCATTCGATTTTCCACTTTTCCTTGCATCAACCCCTCTCGACAGGCATGATCATCACGCGAGACTTCCAGCAGTTACCCTGGTTACCGCGGTGTGAAGGTTCCCGTTATGTCCACAGCGCCGTCCTCGTGTTCTCGTTCACTGTACATCCTCACATCAATAAACGACACACAGCTATATACAATACAGTGGGATTGTTTTTCAAGAAAGAAAGTTTCCGTTCAAGTTTGTGTTATCGATATTTATTCTAAAATCTTAAATCAGAGCTGAAGCACGAGCACCTATTTTGACCATGGTGATAATAATCAATGCCGTGCATAAATATGAGTAAACTTTAAATAAATTTTAAGACGTCACACTTATATTGTAAAAAAACAAAACAAAAACAAAAACAAAAAAAACGTAATTAATCGAGGCCAAATTGAAGTAATCAATAATATCACACGTTTTGTTCGATTTTTTTAAATCACTTTTGTAATTTCATAATCTGCGCTCTTGGCCAGCACTGGCCTGAATAAAACGATTTTAATCTCAGAGGACTTCGTGGTAAAATAAATAAATAATTACACAAAAAGATTTTTTAAATTCTTTTTTTTTTTTTTTTAATGTCTATGGCACCGCTAACATTTTCGTAAGCTAATGTTGTACTTACATACAGAGTTACAGATAACATAACAGTGATAACAGTAATACTACTAATAACCTTATTTATATAGCACTTTAAAAAGAGGTTTACAAAATGCATCGACAGACAAGACAAATAAGATGCAGTTAAAACGACAATAGCAAAAGTGCAAAGTTCATTATGTCAATATCAATAAATGAAATGAATTTTAAAATATAATAAAATAATTAAAGCAATAAAACCTTAAATGTCAAGTTAAGTCATTGTTGTTTATGTGGCACACTGAAAACAGTGCTTTCCAACAGAGTAATCCGGCTGACAAGTTTAAATATTAATGTTAAGACCCTACAATATTGTAGAAAATCCAAAGTGACCTCGCCTAATCAGATATTAAGGTTAGGACCCTGTAAGATGATATATTAGAACACATTTTCTGACTAATTTAGGGTATCTGTCTTTTCATATAAAGAAAAACAACTTTATATAAAATGATGGTTTATTTGTTTTGGATGAATTACTACATTTGCCTTTTGTTTTTTTTAATTAATTCAAGCAGTTTAAAGTCCCCGTCCCTGGAAGTTTTAACTACATCACACAGGTGAACCTTCAGGTAAGCTTGATAATCAAAACCAGGTAAAATGTTCCCCAGAAGAAAAGATAAAAGTTTTCATATTGCATTTTTTCACTGATTTCAGATATTTTAATTAGGGGGCATCAGACAAACCTGTCTACAATTTTTTCCCCCTTTCTCACCTCACCTGCCTATAGAAGTCTGCCTGACAGGAATGTCTACCTGCCAAACCAACCTCAGGGCAAAAACGTCCCAGTAACTTGACATTCAGGCAACTGTGAACTACAGGAAAAAAGCTGACATCCCGCCCATCCTGTTGCTGGAAATTCCTTCTTTCTGATTGGCTGTTAGATCTCGCCCCCCTGTCGCTATTGGCTCACATTTCTGCCCGTCATCGCTGTCACCCGAGAACACGCACAGCAAAGATGGCGGCCTTCAGTGTGGCTCGGAGCAGCTGCGGACTCATAAACGGTTTGAGGGTCTCTTTCAGGAGTTTGGCGCAAGTAAAATATGGCGCAGTGTCTGCATCGTTGCCTCAGACGACTGTGCACCGGGACTGCCGCTGGTACTCGGTCAGCCACCTGTCCGTTAGGGAGAGGATCGAGAAGAAACGGAAGGCGGCGCTAATCGGGGGAGGTCAGAAGAGAATAGATGCACAACACAAAAGGGTAAAGTCAACTAACACTGACTGAAGTTACTACTTTTCATATGAACACCGGTTTCCTTGAAGCTGTCTGCGGGTTTTTATCACCTAATGCTTAAAATGCATTGTCAGCTGGAGTTGTTGGGATGTGAAGTGCCTGGCTCAAGGGCTTTAAATCACAGTGGGTGCTGATGGCTTGTTTGTTTTTCCCCCACGTTGATTACATGACATTGCTGTGGTTAAGTGTCAAGCAGTTCCCCCAGTGTCCTAACCTGGTAAACATCAGTCTTGCTTTTTCCCAGTGCCCTTGAGCAAGTTAGTAACGGTCAACCAAGTTGTGGTAGAAGTTATAGTTTGCAGATTTAGGAACTAATTCTAAAAAATATTGTTTATGGCTCACATGTGGGTTCTATTTGAAAGAGACGCTTTCATTGTTAAAAGTCACAAACCAATGTGATAGACAAAGACCACACAAATGAATAGAATTTAATTATTTTAAAGCTGTTGTGTGATTAACAGTTAGCTGGAATGCTGTCAAAGTGCAAAATCATAATCGCATTAGCTTGATAAGATGTGTCACAAAGTACTATTATAAATAAAGCATTATGCTGCTACAGAGATGCTGCAGCCTATAAATGATACTCTTTGACTGTAAAAATACAGGATTTCTTGGTACATATGGCAGCAATTATTTATTTGAGTGTAAAAGAAATGCCGAAATTTCTATTCCTACGAACATCCGGACTCATATTGCAAGATCTGTCAAAAATAATCACAATGTCATTTCCTTTTTGCATATTGTTCAGACCTAATTGTGGTCTAAATAATTAGAATAATACAATATAATAACATTTTTGGTTATGGAGGCATTGGCATTATGTCAATGCATAATAAGTGGAGGTTGCTCTACCTTACTCGCTTTAGTCAGAGGTCAACTACCTATAGAAGATGTTTCCTTCCTATAGAAGTGGGTTATACTGATTAATTAATGTTCTGATGTTGAAATGTGTTGTGATATCATAAACCTCTGACACTAAAACGAAAAAGACAAAGTGTTAATGAATAAAACATACAGACAATAACCTGACAAATCAAGGCAGTAAACTGGAAAATATTGCCATCAAGCAGTCTACAACGCTGGCCGCAAAACTCTAACCCAACTATCCATCCATCCATTATCTATACACCGCTTAATCCTCACTAAGGTCGTGGGGGGCTGGAGTCTATCCCAGCTGACTTAGGGTGAAGGCAGGGGACACCCTGGACAGGTCACCAGTCTATCACAGGGCTGCACTTAGAGACAGACAACCAAGCACACTCACATTCACACCTACAGACAATTTAGAATCACCAATTAACCTCAACATGTTTTTGGACCTTGTGGGAGGAAGCCGGAGAACCCGGAGAGAACCCACGCTGCACGGGGAGAACATGCAAACTCCACACAGAAAGATTCCGGCGCGAACCGGCAACCTTCTTGCTGCGAGGCAACAGTGCTACCAACTGCGCCACCCTGCAGCCCCTAACCCAACTAGACATTTTCAAATCAAAGCTCCTGTAAACAGCACATCAAAATCTCTGATGAGTCACAAACTAGCATTGTGTCATGATATTTATTGTAAATATTGCACAATCCGAGTGTAGTATTCCTTCAGGCGAACGTGTAGTAACTTTTGGGGTCATGTGCTGCAGGGTAAGCTAACGGCCAGGGAGCGAGTGGAACTCCTGCTCGACCCAGAGTCCTTTGTGGAGTCGGACATGTTTGTGGAACATCGCTGCTCAGACTTCGGCATGGAGGAGGACAGAAACAAGGTAACGGGCCACACGCTGGTCACGTCGGCAGAACCATGGTCAAACAGTGCCACTGAGAAAACATCTCATTCTGAATTTTGTCTTTTTCTTTCCTAGTTCCCAGGTGACAGCGTGGTGACGGGCCGTGGCAGGATCAACGGCAGGCTGGTTTATGTATTCAGTCAGGTACAGAGCATCATTATTATACATGAAGTCCACATTGTGGCGATGCAGAGCAGCTCGGTTTGATACTTGATATTCTTTCCATTCTGCCCTTTCTGCTTCACTCAGGACTTCACAGTGTTTGGTGGCAGTCTGTCTGGAGCTCATGCTCAGAAGATCTGCAAGGTAAACAAATGTCTAACAGCAGCAATAAACACATATTTTCATTTTAGTAATGCTGCTTGCCTGCCACGGGTACATTGTGTATTTGTGTTTGGTCATCAGTTCTGTTTTCTGGTTCTTTTTGACCCTTTACCTTTTTGAATGTCTTTGCTCAGATTATGGATCAGGCCATGACAGTCGGGGCCCCCGTCATCGGACTGAACGACTCAGGAGGAGCTCGAATCCAGGAAGGAGTCGAGTCTCTGGCTGGATACGCAGATATATTCCTGGTATGTTTATTTTGGGAAGAGCTTTTCATGCATATCGAGCTTCAAAGTCTCAAAGCTGATTATATGCAACACAACTTGCAACAAGTAACGGGATAATTTCCTGCCAACTTTTGGGCTCCCTGCATTTTTGTGGGTTTGAGATTTCAGACTGTTTCCTATTATTGAAATGCACACAGCTGGAGGCATGACAAGAAATCCTCAACAACTGTAGGCCACTGTCAGTGGAAAGATTCAAACAATACTTTTTCTTTTTCCAGAGGAATGTAATGGCTTCAGGAGTCGTCCCTCAGATATCCCTCATCATGGGGCCCTGTGCAGGAGGAGCTGTCTACTCCCCCGCCCTCACAGATTTCACTTTCATGGTGAAGGTATGAAGCTCTACAAATACAGCTGACTAATACACTATACTCCACTGTAATTAGCAACTGAAATCATTCATTTTGTTTCAGCCATAAAAATCAAATATGCAAGTATTTCTAAACTGCCTTGCTGTTGAAAGAAGAGTGACAGTATATTATAACACACACCATCCTGTTGTTAGAGTCTGATGGTGTGCATATTCACATTAGCTAAACCATCGTGTTTGCTTGTGTGTACAGGACACATCATACCTGTTCATCACAGGACCTGACGTCGTGAAGTCTGTTACCAACGAAGATGTGACTCAAGAGGAGCTTGGTGGAGCCAAAACTCACACAACCGTGTCTGGTCAGTTTTGTGCAAAAAGCTTTTACTTCTCACAGATCGTGACCCTTAAAATATTTAGATATCAAAGAGTTATGTAAATCTTCAGCTACAGTAGCAAATAAACTGATTACTGGTCAGATCAACATAGAATAGAATTCTTCGTTTGTCATTGCACAGGACACTATGAAATGGTAGAAGGTGCAAAAAAGGTGTAGATATCTTCAGATTCTGTACATTTTGCAGTGATTATAGTTCAGGGATTCACTCAGGTCCACACAGTTAGTGTCAGTGCTTTGCAGAGTTCAGTTTTATTACGGCTCCGGTGTAGAAACTGTCTTTGAGTCTGTTTTTCCAAAAGACTGTATAAAAGATGGACGTAGCAACCGGCCCTGAAAAATGAAGCCAACCCAGAAGTGTCAAAAACCTGCATCCGCTAGCTGCTGGCTCCAAAAAGCCCTGGCTCCCATAGACTGGAATTGGAAAAGAAGTGATCACAGATCACGAAATACTGCATTCCTACAGCTCAGGATTTTAAAAAAATTAGTTTTCATGGTCAAATCCAGAGATCAGGTGGCCAATCTGAAAATAAATCAATACTGAATTTTTAAAAAATCTTCAAAATTTTGAGGGGCAAGGGGCGTGTCTGGCTTGATTGACAGTCGGCAGCGACCATACAGATGAAGCGAGCAGAAGGCGGTAAATGTGGGCGGGGCAGAGAGGACCCGCCTCTCAATCCGTCTGACCAATCGCTGCTCCTATGGCTCCGCCCCCCTCTGACGATTTTTGCGTCACTGGCTCCAAAAATCCAAGATGTCAACCAGGAAGTAGCAAAACCCTGGCTTCATGTTCTCAGTGCAGAAACCAACGGGTGACGTCACGGTAGCTACATCCATCTTTTATACAGTCTATGGTTTTTCCATGATTTGATGGACCTGAAGTGTCTTCCAAAGGGGCAGTGGGTCAAAAAGATGCTGTCTAGGATGGGTCATTTAGAATGTTTGCTGCTTTACTGAGGCAGCAAGAGTTGAGTAAGCCCTCCAAAGAGGGCAGTGAGCAGCCGATGATCCTCTAAGAGGTGTTAATAATCTTTATCCGAGGTCGGTTTACTAGTTCAGAAAAGCTTAAGATGAAATAACACCTGATTATAATGTTTGTCTTATGTCTCATTCTCAGGTGTGGCCCATCATGCATTTGAGAATGACGTCGATGCTTTGCTCAACCTGCGAGAGTTCTTCAACTTCCTGCCACTTAGCAATCAAGATCCCGCCCCCATCAGGGAGAGCCACGACCCCAGGTAGCCAATCACCTGCAGCTCCTCGTAAAACAACAACTAATCCTTTGTTTTTGTGAGAGAACATCAGCTTATTATTCTGATGTCGGGCTCATTTTTCAGCGATCGTCTGGTACCTTCTTTGGACACTATTGTCCCGTTTGAGTCAACTAAAGCTTATGACATGTTGGACATCATTCAAGCAGTATGTGCACAAACACACACCCTCACAATAATACTAATATGTTATTTCTGGAAAGCTTAAATGTATTTGTGTATTTGTTCAGATCGTGGATGAGGCGGACTTCTTTGAGATCATGCCCAACTACGCCAAAAACATTGTGGTGGGATTTGCCCGTATGAATGGACGCACTGTGGGCATTGTGGGTAACCAGCCCAAAGTAGCTTCTGGTAAGTAAAATAAGTGAAGGGCCAAATGCTAGCTAGAAAAACTGATGAAGTTTTAAAGCAGCATGTTGGATTTCAAAGTAGTTTTACTGCTCTGTTCATGATGTACCTGTTTTGTTCGTCAGGATGTTTGGACATCAACTCCTCAGTGAAGGGAGCTCGCTTTGTTCGCTTCTGTGACGCTTTTAACATTCCCATCATCACCTTCGTGGATGTGCCGGGTTTCCTGCCAGGTACAAAATCTCTCAGTGCATGTATACAGGATGTATTTGAATGCATAGAGTAATCCAGCTATTGGCTAGTTTACATCTTGACTCTTGCTGCTGCCATGAATAAACTAATCCGTCCACAGATGGAACAATCCACCTGAACAAACACAGCATATAAAAATGATCTGCTTGCTCGGGGAAAAGAAACAAACACATACATACAAAAACAGTATATTCTCACTTATTGTGGGAACAAATCTACTGTGTGCGCTGAAATATTACAGTCCCATCCGATGGTGTACACTCACACATTATTACTGCTGTGATGATTTTAACAGGAACAGCTCAGGAGTATGGAGGCATCATCAGACACGGAGCCAAACTGTTGTTTGCCTTTGCAGAGGCCACCGTCCCAAAAATAACCATCATCACCAGAAAGGTATGTGTGAACAAAATAGGAAGAGACGTGTGGAAAACCCTGTGCACTGATGTGATTTTAGGGCCAAGTTTAGACTTGAAATGGGGTTTAGTGGTGGTTAAAGTTAAGCTTTCACCTTCACAACTGTGCTAATGTTCCAGTATGAGTGTGATGTTGGGGTAGTGATAAGATGTTGCTTCCATTACTGTAGCTCCTAACCTGAACAGTGAAGTTAAACAAAACTGCAAGGCCAAGTGGTTAGCAGTGACTATCACCAAAATGGTTATCGGCAAGTACTCGCAACTCAGCAGCTACCTTGATTGTACTCTCTGAGTGGTTATTTCAGACTAACAAGACTAAGCTTGCCTAAAAAAAAAATAAAAGGGTTTAAAAACCACTGTTCCCTTACAAGTTATACTTGCACATGCCCAAAGTTTCACAACATTGTGCTAGAATCAGTCCAACAACACATTTGAATGGATGTTACAAAGTAGATGATTGGCTGTTTGGACTGAGGGGCGGGACATGTGTCATACAACCGCCCTCTTTGGCATTACAGAGTTTTTCCATAGATTTCTATTTGGGATTGTTTAACTGGCGAGACTCTCCTTTATACAGTCTTTGCTATAACGCAACACTTCCTGCAGATGCCTCACTATAATAGTCATTATAAGACTGCGTTACATTAACCATACTACTATACTATATAGTGTACCAGAAAAAAAGATTTAGTATGTCCCATAGACTGTATAAAAGATGGACGTAGCAACCAGCCCTGAAAAATGAAGCCAACCTGGAAGTGTCAAAAACTTATGTCCGCTAGCTGCTGGCTCCAAACAGCCCTGGCTCCCATTGAAATAAATTGGAAAAGAAGTGATCACAGATCATGACATACTGCATTCCTACAGCTCAGGATTTTTTTCTTATTAGTTTTCATGGTCAAATCCAGAGATCAGGTGGCCAATCTGAAAATAAATCAATACTGAATTTTTAAAAAATCGTCAAAATTTTGTGGAGCAAGAGGCGTGGCTGGCTTGATTGACAGTTGGCAGCAACCATACAGATGAAGCGAGCTGAAGGTGGTAAATGTGGGCGGGCAGAGAGGGCCCGCCTCTCAATCCCTCTGACCAATCGCTGCTCCTATGGCTCCGCCCCCCTCCGACGAGTTTGCGTCACTGGCTCCAAAAATCCAAGATGTCAACCAGGAAGTAGCAAAACCCTGGCTTCATGTTCTCAGTGCAGAAACCAACGGGTGACGTCACGGAAGCTACATCCATCTTTTGTACAGTCTATGGTATGTCCTATTGGATGGTACTTATAATGTAGTATGCCAAAAATACCCAGTCATCCTACTACATCTGGTCGGATTTTGCAGTATGCAAGTCAGCGTGCTTTTACGGCCATTCTGACGTCACACAAACGGATGACGGCTCATTTCGCACTACAGACTGCAACAGTCAAAGCTGAAGGCGCATTATTATGATGGAGTAATATGTCATCGTTGCATGACACAGTACGCGCTTTGGGATGCAGCTGGAGAACGTACTTTAAACTGAAAAGTGAAAATAGTAAACTTGGAACACAGCCATTATCTTCACTGGACGATGTTTACTTTGAGACAGCTGCAGGAGGTGTTGAGTTAGAATTTGGACAGTGTTCATAGTTGGGAAGTTCCTCTCAGGTTATGGACTTAAACCCCCAAAAAACTCATCTGTGTATCAAAGTTACTCTGTACCATTGCTTCCACTGTATCTATAAAGTCCCTAACTTGCTGTCCACTTATTACTCCTCATTTGTGGCAGCTCGAGCACACCAGCTCACCTGCCACTCCGCTCAAACGCTGCAAAACTCCTCTGTTACACAATGCTAATTCAGCCGTACATGTTTGCACTGGAAATTGAAGAAGAATAATGATGTGAAAAAGCCCTGCAAATGGACAGGATTAGTTCCTTTTGATTGAACCCATAAATCTGCTTATTGGACTCACATGTTTTCCAGCTATAAAAAAACCACCATATGGACATGCTGACAAGGTGAAAGAAACAGATTTTTCCCCAGAGGCGATCTGCATGCACCTGCCTTCTAACAATGCTTCTTGATGCAGACTTAATGATATCATGCAAGGTGGTAACTTTCCATATCTGACTGCGTCCCAGGCTTACGGAGGAGCCTATGACGTGATGAGCTCCAAACACTTGAGAGGAGATGTGAACTACGCCTGGCCTACAGCTGAGGTCGCCGTCATGGGTGCCAAGGTATAAACACATTCGTACTTTGTCTCCCACCCACTGTTTCTCCCTCTCCCTTTTTTTTTTTTAAACATTGTGTGTGGTCTGTTTTTCTGTTTTTTCTCAGGGTGCTGTTCAGATTATCTTCAGAGGAAAAGAAAACCAGGCAGAAGCAGAGGCTGAATATGTGGACAAGTTCGCCAACCCCTTCCCAGCTGCCGTCAGAGGTGAATGAAAACACACACGGGAACATCGTAGCACCTAATCCATCATGTTTGTTTGCGACAAACTGCGCCAGCTAACATAACTCACTCTGACTTGTTTTAGGTTTCGTGGATGACATCATCGAGCCGGCGACCACTCGCAAGAAGATCTGTAGCGATCTGGAGGTGCTGGCCAGCAAAAAGCAGGTCAACCCCTGGAAGAAGCACGCCAACATTCCTCTGTGAAAGACACCCACACCACCTCAACACTATCTAAAGGCACTTGCTGTGGGATTTAGCTTGTTTTGAGTCATTCGGATTAACTGCTGCAGTACCACGAGGCGATGACTTTGGGAGCCGGCCAAGCAGATGTTAGCTTCTCCTTGCTGTTTACCACTCCACTGAAAGCAGCAAGACAAGATCACTCCCTGATTTGTTCCCCATCCACACCTCACTGCTTAGGTTTCAAATGATTTTTTTTTTTTAGTTTTGGAGGAAATGTTGGTTCCCTGTAACCAAAATCGGGACGTGCATCTTTACATCTTTATTAATGATATGCAATGTGTTTATACGAAAATCCTAAAACTTGTCAAATGACCTGAATTGAATACTCCCATAGTCACACGTGATGTCAGGAGTGGCCATATTGGTCACTGCTGTTGATATAATTTTATAAAACAAAAGGCAATCTGAAGAACACAGGCAACTGTCAAGATGATAGTTTTAGTAGAAGATGTGAACCTACTGTCGTCTGTTGTCGTGCACAGTGTTTCCAAAGTAAAGGTACTGTATTTAGTTGTTGTTTTTTACAGTGCAGTGCTTTCAAACACACTTGCTGTGTTTGATGTCCTCCGTGTAGGTCAAGAAAAAGTAATTTTCACAAACTGGAACTGTGCCTTCTCTCTCTGGCAGCCTCCGTTCTGCCTTCTGTAAAATAAATCATGTACTCAATACCGTGTGTGTTTTATTTACCGATACGGCAGTTTATGTGTGTGGTCAAGACAGTTTTTTTTTTTAAAGATTGAATAAGTAGAGTTGATATAAATCCCTGCAAGGTGGCGCAGTTGGTAGCACTGTTACCTCGCAGCAAGAAGGTTGCCGGTTCGCGTCCCAGTGGGGGCACCGGAATCTTTCTGCGTGGAGTCTCCATGTTCTCCCCGTGCAGCGTGGGTTCTCTCCGGGTTCTCCAGCTTCCTCCCACACAGTCCAAAAACATGTTGAGGTTAATTGGTGATTCTAAATTGTCCGTAGGTGTGAATGTGAGTGTGCTTGGTTGTCTGTCTCTAAGTGTAGCCCTGTGATAGACTGGTGACCTGTCCAGGGTGTCCCCTGCCTTCACCCTGAGTCGGGATAGACTCCAGCCCCCCATGACCCTAGTGAGGATTAAGCGGTGTATAGATAATGGATGGATATAAATCCCAGAGGAGTGTGTGGGACTATTCAAAGGTGCTGGTCCTGATTTGGGGTGAAAATGTGGGACACTGAGAGAGAAATATTCGATGATAAATTAAAAATGTAGGTGATGTTTGAAGACGAATTTGACAGTTTGGGTGTTGGATTGTAAATACGAAGCTCGCCAGCCAGCAGAGCTTTGTACAAATTAACATCTTGTGTCGTCTTTGTTTAATCTACACCAACACACGTACACTTTGTATTATGGTTGTTTGCGTGCTTGCGGTCTAAAGTTGTGAAGAGTGATCTGTCAAAGCTCTGGCAAAGCTAAAAGTTGTTATTGACCAACACGCAGCTGTTTTCAATTGTCCTGACATTTTGGAATCAAGTCACAAACAGTGATCCATAAATTGATTACAGATTTTATTTTATTAAAAAGAATTTAAGTTCACAGAAAAAAACAAACAAACAAAAAAACAAAACAAAAACAGGCTTTTAGAGTATTTTAGGGCAACTGATGTCAACTGCACTGCAGAAAAGATCCAATTGTCTCTGATATTTACAGGACTGCCATCCAGCCAATGAGTAAAGGTTGTAAAATGATTGATTAACCAACAGAGGGTGAATAAAAGTATGGCTGAACACATTCAAAACACATTCAAACAAATCTGTCAGACATAAAAGATCCGTCACTGCACAGGATATGAACAATGGTAACAACAAATCTTTAACTTCTTGGATCCGTTAACACTGTTTGCAGGTGCAAAAAAAAAATGGAACTTGTTTTCACCTGTAAAAAATCAACGAGCCGACCAGATCATCTGCTGTAATACTGAACTGTGAAAACGATTACAATCAGACCATACAGCGCCTAAAAGTTCCTCGGTAACCGTTGGATATGAGTTACAGGTGTCGGAGGGGGGAAGAGGGGCTGGAATATACTGTAAGTATGTAGGCCACAATTTGGCAACAAACAAGATACATATTCAAGAAAAAGCTGTACAAACATCAGACAAAAACAAAAACACACTTGATTTAAAACTTTAGTACTAAAGCTACAGAATTGAAAATATGTTTATTGTCTTTTTTTTTTAACTTTTTTTTTTAGTTTTTTTTGTTTACTTCAAAAAGCCGTTATTCGGTGGGGGTGTGTGTGTGTGTTCGTGTGTGTGCAGAAATTTTTCCAAGATTTGAGAAAGTGTGTGTGGGGGGGTAGTTTCTGTCCCGAGGTCGGTCAGAGAAGCGGCTTCACCGTCAAACAACAACACTCGCTTTGCTTCGATATCACACACACACACACACACACGCACACGAGACAGTTACATCACTTCCTCCAGGACAGCTGCAGATCCGTGTGTGCGTGTGCCGCCGCCGCTCAACCGCCGCCGTCGCCACCAACACTTTACACGCACGTCACGCACATACAAGGACTCGGAGATGGCGAACAGAGAGGAGAAGGAAGGTGGAGGGGGTGGAGGGTGGGTGGTAATAAGAGGAAAGATATAGAACATTTAGTACTGAGATCCGCTCTATGTTTAACCAGATGGATCGAAGTGCAACACCAAAAGAAGGAGGGTGGGGGAGGACTGTACAGAGTGTTTACGCTGCTCTGTGCTGCTGACCAGGGAGTGGAAGCAAACAACTGTACATCTGTGGAACGGGGGGGAACTGTAAAAACTGCGAGTACTCATCGGCCGGCTGCAGGATTACGTAGCCAGAGCGCCACAAGAGCTACCGCTAACGAGAGCTAAACCAACAGGCTGAAGAGGAAGAATACGAGCGGGACGAAGCTCTTGAATAATTCAGACTTGGATCCCTCCGACCCGCCTGACGGCAACAGAGCGGATCCTCACTTCCAGGTGATGTCCAGTCGACGCGGGATCCGTCGGTAGGTCCGCCTGACAAGCATCCTTCCATCAAGTCTTATAGAAAGAGAAAAGTACTTCGACAATGTTTTTTTTCTTCTTCTTAAGAGTTTGATTGGCAGGCGATCTGGGTTAGACATCCCAAACCCCCTCCCCTCCTCTTCTGTTTACTCCTGATTTGAATCCTGAACTCAGGATCTTTTCCTTGTTTCCCAGATCAGAACATGGGCATGCTGAATCCCTGGAGCAAAGGAAGGGGAGAAAGAAAGTCAGAAAAAATGAACAATGGAGCTCCTCTACAGCCCTGAAGTAAACATTGCTGCAGTGTTTAGTTTCTTTTTATTTATTTCTGCAAGATGTTTACACGTAATGGCTTTAAAATTTCACCTTCATCATTGTAAAGTGAAAAAAACAAAACTAAAAACTAAAAAAAAAAAAGAGAGTACGCTGAGAGGAAAAGCTTTTGCAATCTCTGTTCTTCTGGGCTCTTGATTTATTTGTGTGCTGCTCCTTTGTTTCCTTAATTGAATAAGTTATTACTGCACTTTTCTGTTTTTGGCTTATGTCTACTATTCTATTCTAATAATTATATTTTCAGGTTTTTGTGCCTTTCTTATCAATGTGTAAAGCTGTTTGAAATGCCTCTGCTTGAAAGGTGCTTCATACAAACAACTTCTACACAGTAAGCGCTGAGTGTTTCACTTACCGACTCGTCCTCGATCATTGCTGCGGAGTCAAAGAAGTCCGGTCTTAATTCCGCTCTTTCACGTCTGTTCCTTGATGGTGGCTAAAATGGTTTTAAAAAAAAAAACACAACAACAAAAAAGAAAAAAAACAATGTCAATATCTGAATAAATAAGAACCACAAAAACAACAGTTTTGCTCGGGTTACGTGGCGTCACTGACCAGGTCGATCACCATGGTATCTTCAAACTCCTCGTTCATGTCCTCCAGCTGGCCCCGCGACGACATCATCACGTCCTCAAAGATCGGCTCCGCGTCATCCTCCATCAGCCCACGCCTGGAAGAGAATGCCGGTTTATTATCTCCTCTTAAATGCTGGGCATTTTTATTCATATTATTTCCTTTATTTATACAGGTAATCTCATTTAGACGCGGGGTCTCATTGGCAAGAGAGACCTGTTCGCCAATAACAAAACAACACAATATGGAATCACAGACAGACGACACTGTGGCACCTGTCCTAAACAATACAACATACAACAGGGAGCTACAGACAGACAGGATCAACGTAAAACACAACATCAGACATTATCATTTATCAAAAAAAAAACATCATGGGGGTGTCCGTTGGTAGGCCAAAACTTCTGATAAGATTCTGTTACTATCCAGTGTCGTCACTTTGGGCTGCAGGTTTTACAAACTAAACACACACGTAAACATCGGGGTGTGACGGATCACAAAAGTCACAGATTTAATCGCATCATGGCTTTAAATTTTCGGATAAGTAAAATAAAACTAATTAAAAAACTGTCAACAGCTTTAAACACAAACACACAATTACTATGTTTACAACTGTTTTGCATTGAGATTGAGGAAATTTTTCATGCAAAAACTACCATAAATCTTGGTGGAGAGGCAGAGATCCCGTGGCCAATTAAAATTTGATGCCCCTCTAGATCACTTTCTTTAAAACTGCAAAATAGGGCATTGGCCTTGGCATAAGAGAGGACTCCCCAAGTGCCGTTCTAATTACTTTAAAAAATAATGGCAGCAATGAAACTTTCAATTAATCTGTGGTTCACACATGTGCTCAAATGTGGGCGGGGATCTAAGCGGTTTCACTGTGAACTGTTAAAGCGCAACTTACACAGTCTGCCGGACGCCCTGATTGCTGCGTGATTTGATGTAGTTCATGCCCGTTCGGTCCTTCCTGTTCACCTCCTCCATCTTCTGCTGGCCGAGCCACGACATCTGCATCTGAGGACTGAAGGGGAAAAGAAACTTAAAGATGCTGACCGACAACAATGCTCTGTTTTCTAAAAAAAGTAATTCACACATTTTAATGAGTGTCTATAAAAAGCACGTGCGTGAACTCACTTGTGTACGAAGTCGTTCTCTGATCCAGGCTCTGAGTCGGGGTCTGGCATGTGTTCTGCTGGTCTGTTCTCTCTGAGGACTGTTGAGGTGAGCTGGGGAGTCTGAAGCGCCCCCGGTGTTTGTAAGGTGTCATTACGCATCATCCACGAGCCCTCCACACTACTCTCCTCTGAAAATCGACACACACAGCAAGTTCACAGTTTGAGCAACACCACGGTTACACTGCAACCAAACCAGAGACCCTCGTGCCTCCGCTGCCTGCTCACCCTCGATGCGTTTCTTGTGTAGCGGCGGTCGTCCCTTCTTGCTGCGCACCGATCCGGTCTTGCTGCTGGAGCCCGACGTGACGGACATGTGGTCCTCGTCTCCTCCCGTCAGCAGGCTGTTCCTGTAGGAGATCAGCGGCAGCCACACGTCCTCCCGACGCTCCGACATCGACTCCGACATGAACTTCTCCAGGTAAGAGTGGCTGAGGAGACGAGCAGCATTTTAGCATCTTTTGAAATTACAAAATAAAAGTTAGCCAGGAATAAAAAATAAACCTAAGAGAGAACTTACACTGTCTTTTTGTCTTGGCGGATTAGTTTGGAGGAGAATTCACTCAACACCTCCAGGAAGGCCAGGTTGATGGGAGG